GAGGTTGCAGTGAGCCGAGATTGCACCACTGCATTCCAGCCTGGGCAACAAGAGTGAAACTCTGTCTCAAAAAAAAATAAAAATAAAAATAAAAATAAAAATGGAAGAAATGTTTTGTTTTTGGAAGAAAAACCAGGAGCCCCGGGTAGCCATGCCCTCAGGAAGCAAAGCAAAATTCACTGAGAAGGCATGTCTTCTTTCCCTGGGTCAGCAAGACCCACCCAGGACACAGGGACTAGGGGAGACAGGAGGGAGGGCGAAAGGAGCGCTGCAGAGGCCGCAGAGCTGATTGCTTCAAACTTTTTCTCGTCTGCATCCATAGCTACATCTGACCTCTGTGGGTATTTATCACACCCTGAACTGCTTTCTCATTTCTCCCTTTCCACTGGAAGCCCAGAGGCGGCGGCCCCTAGCCTACTTCCCTGCCCCAAACCACATGGCCGGGTGGGTGGGGCTTAGAGCTGGGGCCGGGTCTGGTGGGTGTGGCTTCTAGCCGGGGACGTGACTAGATAGATAAATGACACCTAGAGCCCAGGGGCAGAGCTGGGTGGGCGTGGTTTATGGCTATGGGCGGGGCTTGCTATATAGCTCAGAATGACGGGCAGGGCAGAGTGAGTGGGATTTAAAACAGTGGGCGGAGCCTGACATATAGCTTATGGCAAGGGGCCGGGCTTTGTAGGAGGGGCTTAGACTGGGGCGGGGCCTGCACGGTCAGCCCCGCCCCACCAGAGCAGCTACGACGGGCCGGGGGCAGGTGCTCTCACCCGTCCCGTTGCTGCGGCCGGAGGCAGGCCCCGGGCCCGGGCGCTGCTCCAGTTCCTCCGCCTCTTGCTCTGGGTGGGTGAGGCTGGACCAGGACGCGGCTCCGCGTGGCTGCGAGCGTGGGGAAGCGGCGTGGCGGGCCCGGCCCAGGCTCTCCGCTACGGCCCACTGCCCCCTACCTGACCAGCCCGCGGGCAGCGGCCAAGACGGTGTTACCCAGGCTTGGGGGAGGTCCCCTACGTGTGAGTCTCCCTCCCTGCCTCACCCCTCACCGTTTGTCCCGCCGGCAGCCTTCACGGGGAGAAGGGGTTCCCAGCAAGGGGGCCCTCCATGGGCCAGCATGCAAGGTGCACTGGGGTGGGCGCTCTGGGGACCCGTGGTTGGAGCAAGAGACGGGATGATCCGGGAGTCGAGACCCCGAGTTAAAACCCGGAGTTCTGAGGACCACAATTGCTGTGAATGAAGGCCAGACCTTCACATTCGGGGCAGGACTAGCCTCTTCCATTCCTGCAGCTGCTGGAGGGCATTAAGAGTAATCCGCTATCGGCTGGGAGCAGTGGCTCACACCTGTAATCCCAGCACTTTGGGAGGCCGAGGCAGCAGAATCACTTGAACCCGGGAGGTGGAAGTTGCTGTGAGCCGAGATCTTGCCATTGTACTCCAGCCTGGGCGACAAGAGCTAAACTCCATCTCATAAAAAAAAATAAAAATAAAATCCATTATCAGCAGGGGTCCTCTTCTCCACCAGTGTGAAATCAGCACAGCTGGGGGAACAAGTGCCCCCCAACACCGACTTCTGTTCTGCATCTCTGATGATGGGAGCAGTTGAGGGTGGTCTCCATCCTGTAGCTCAGATAAATTCAGAGACTAATATCCCAGAGCCTGCAGGGTTGGGCGGGCAGGAGGTGTCTTTCTAGACAAGCCCAGTTGGTTGCAGTGGCCAGGTGGTGGGCAGGGGCGATGAGATGTTCTGGGAAGCCTGCACCAGCCACCACCATCTCTGCCCTACCCAGTGGCAGGCACCTCTAGTGGGATGTAGGATGTTCCTGGGTGCTCACCATTGGCCCAACTGTACAGAGGAGGAGACTGAGAGTCAGAGAAGCCAAGTTACTTTTTTTGTTGGCCAGGAAAATCTAATTTTTATTTCCTAAATACTGTGAAGAAAAGAACAGTCCCCCAGTGGGGAAGCGCCATAGAGCAGATGCCTGGGAGGTCATTGACAAAGGCACAGGGGCAATGGGAGAACTGGCAGAAGTGGCGGTCCTCCTGTAGTCCCTTTTGCATATCAGACCCCAGCTGCCTGCAGCTCTCCTGAACCCTGGTGCCTCCAGGTCCCTGATGAGCCCCCACTGCCCTGCATGGTCGCGAGTCTTGTAAGAGCCCCATCTGTCAGGCCTGGACTCCTGTTGTGCCCAGCTGCCTCCCTTTTTTTTTTTTTTTTTTTT